TTAAATATAAACTAATCTGAATCTATATGCAGTACTATACAATCATTTAGCATATATATATTCAGTCACATTTTTATGTCAAAAATAATGAAATGTAAGGATTCCATTTGAAAAAAAAAATTGTTACGTAGAGGCCTTGTTTTTTATTGGACAAAAGTAGTGGAAGTTAGAGTTTTTGGAAAATAATGAATTGTTGCTTTTTTTGGCCAACAATGAATGTTTACTTCTTGATTTTTTTTTTTAAATTCAAACTGCTTTAAGGTTGAGACTAATCTCTATCAAATCAGAAATGTTAATATTAAAGTCTTCTTAATAATAAGTATGCTTCTTTATTTTTTTTCTGCTTTTTAGAGTTAAATGACTAAAAATATAGCTTTTAAAGTGAAGAGACCAACCTAAAATTTTATATAAAGTTAGAAGGCTAAAAGCATACTTTAACTTAATATTTAATATTTTTCTCAATTTAAATGAAATATATTGAAAATGTCTTATATATAAATAAAAATAAAATAGCAGCAAATAAAATTCAAAATTCACAGGAGGTAGAGGTAAAATGAAAGTAATCAATCAATCACAATGTAAGTAATAGTATCCATTCCAAAATAGGTATATCTATCAATACATTAAAATGTTAAACTCTATTGTTGGTTTTTTTGTATTTTATTAAAAAATGCTACATTATTGTTGCTAATTTGTAAATGGGATGACCAATAATAATAAAATTAATTAACAGTCGTCAGACTGGGCAGTAGCGTTGACATGGTCGCGTCGCGTTGGTGAGAACATGCCCCTCCTTTATTTATGCTGATTATCATTTCCTCATTGACATGTAGCACTTCTAAGTCAGCATCATTAAAGTCAAATAATTATTAATTAATTATAGTACTAAACATGGTAATTAATCCAACCTCCACCAGCAGTGATCCACACATGATTATTTTTTTACTATTATTATAATAATTTAATTTAATGCGCTATATATATTATCAGCACGAAACCTCTCCACTGCAAATCCTCTCAATTTAATCTCCATTTATATAAAACATAGCGTTTTATAATTTAAGCAGTAATGCAATCATGTTATTTTGAAAAAAAAAAGGAAAAAAAAACCTCAATCAACCATTTGACCCAAAAAAAGAGTCTTCTTCCTCTTCAGACAAAAAGCCTTCGAGACTCACCCCGTTCAGATTCTTTTTCCTAAGGTTCGAACTGGAAGTCCACTAGCTTCTGTAGCATCCAGTTTCCAAGACTGTGATTTTGGTAATGGAGAAGCTTTTGTTTGGGTGATGGAGGAAATGACGTCACTGCAGTGAGAAGCCTTTTCTTCTTCTTCTCCTTTTTTTTTTTTGATGTTTGATTGAGTTTTTTTGCTTTATTTAAGATAAATCAGAACCTCCTAAAACCTGATTGTTGCATTAAGTGGGGGAAATATAAAAAGCTTATTCATGGAGAGAAGGAAATGACCTCGTTTTGAGTTAAAGGAAGGAAGTGGAGAGAATTGCTCAACAAGATCTTATAATTAGGACCGTAGATAGTAATTGATATTACACCAAATCAACAAGAAATAGTCATAGTATCATTGATAATCAGAAAATTCCTAAAAAATAGCTCTTGAATTTCAAATTTTCAAATAAGAATTACTATAAAATGTGTTGTTATTTGCCTTTCAAATACAGTTAATTGTTATTAAGATATAGTAAACAAGAATGATTTAGAATTTTAAAATTTAAAAGATTTTTTTGGGATTATTTCTTAATAATTTGCAAGTCAAACAACTAGTACAAAATAGGTGTAGTGACAATTTGTGTAATTAAATGGCCTGAATAATGAACTTTGGAAAAATTATATTCAAGTCTCACAGAAGACATTTCATTCAGAAAAAGTCCCTGGAAATCCCGAAATGATTCCTAAGTCCCTAGAGACCTGTCTGTAATAAATTGTAATTGTGATTACCTATTATCCTCATTAATTTGAACCCAATGTAATTCATTTACAACCTCAACAATGGCTATTGACAACCCGATAAGAAGTGGTTAACAACTTCGGTAATACCCCTGGCATCCCACAGAGTGAGTTGTTAGAGGCACTGTCAAAGTTGTCAACTAGTTCTTTTCGGGTTGTCAACAGCCACTGTTGAGGTTGTAAATAAATTATTGTAATAAAATTAATGGGGATAGATAAGTAATTTCACAATTACAATTTATTACACACAGGTCCCTGGGGATTTAGGAATCATTTCGGGATTTTCAGAGAATTTTATGAATTAATTATCTTCTATTTGGACTTGAGTGTAATTTTCCCTAAATAAACTTTTTACACTTACAAATTAATGTTGAAAAAAACACACTCTCCGCACCTCTTGATATTATAACCCATGTTAAAGGATAAAAAAATTAAAAATAATTTTTTTTTCCTCTTTTAATTTCACACTGGTGGGAGGCACCATCGGTGTATAGATAATACTCTCTACACTAGATAATACTTTCTACACTAGTTGTAACAAGAAGCCGATGCAAATTAAAGATAAATATAATTTTTTTAAATGCGAAATTGAATTAATTTCCACATAGGATTATGTTTTTCACCAGTGTGGAAAGGTAAATAAATTTTTGAAATAATAAAGTCATGTTTCGAAATATTAGGTAGAGTCGTCTTTTTTCATTTTTTGTTAGAAATTGTTCCTCATCTTTTTCGTCCACATCTCTCCCAAACAGTGTTCTAATCGTGTGGAACTTATCTTTTTCCTTTCCCCCGCAGATTAAGCTTAAGATTGAACTCCTATTTACAACGTTTTCTAGGTCGTTCCTCACGGCTCTTGTACTATATATATATATATATATATATATATATATATATATAAAGTAAATTAGCTACAAACGGCTTGATGAATTGGCCAATTGGAGTTGCAAATTAAATACTACCTCTAATGCTTAATATAAAAGTTAGCTAGAAGCCTATCTTTAAAGAATAAAGATAAGGTGGTCCTAGAGTCATACAAGTATGCCTTTACTTTGAAGCACTCAGTGTTCTCACCAATAGATAATTTTAATTATCTAATATATATGATTGAAGAGGATAGTTTAACAAGAACAATATATGTTTGTAACAAATAACTAACTTAACTAATTTTCTTAATATCTCCAAATTAGTTATCTAACTCTTAAACTTCCTATGATTCTTAATATAAGAGCTACTCATGGTTAGGAGGTTGGATTTGGTTTTAAATATAAAACCTCAATCAACTTTGTCTCTCAAATCTATAATATTTTATCTAAAATATCCTTATTAATTGTAAGGAGTTCTCATCAAAAAATAATTTGATAGTTTGGAAAAATCAACACATATTTGTTGCAATTAACCGACTTAACTAATTTTTTCAATCTCTTCAAATTAATTATTCAACTCTTATATTAACTACCGGCAGCACATTGAATGTTTTGTGGTGTGTTTTCGGGTTATAACGTTTTGTGGTGTGTTTTCGGGTTAGAAATGGGATGGGATTGGGATAGACTAACATTTGATGCTGAAAATTTTAAATAGAAGAAAGGCATAAATAATGACATTATTTTTGAACAACTTTGTCATCGCTTACGATTAATTCATATTATTGTAAGGCTGTTAATTAGTGCGTGGCTCACTTTTCTTTAATCTCCAACCATATTAAAAAAATAAAACCCACGTGTAATTAGAGGTACGTAAAGGACAAAATCCATATGATCACATGCAAACAATTTAATTCTTAGGAAGCCAACTAGAACTGCATATTAATTTTTTAAGAGAGAACCAATAATGAATTTTATTTTGTCTTGATGGGCAGAAAAAAAAATAATAGAGTTTATTAGTCAACGAAATAATACTCGTAGTAGATTTCTTTTTCTCACTTTAATTTAAATGATTAAATAACTAAACGTACATTAGTTGGTGACCACAGCCGCAGGCTGCATATCGGCTGCTATGGCGGGGGGGTTGGGTAGTGGCCGTGGCATTCTAGTTTGAGTCAAAGTTCACATCAAACCCACTAATATAATTGACCGTTTTTAATTAATTAATTAATTAACCACTTAATTCCCATTCTATTTTGCTGAAATTTACTAATAAAGAACTTGCTGAAGAAAGGAAATCACATCATCATTTAGTATTGCATAAAACTCACGCCATAATTGTTTAAAGTGTGGTGGAATTCCAAAATGTATACCACCACTTTTTTTAACAGCCTAAAGGCAAAACTTCAATTTTCTTAATTTCTCATATTTATTTTTTTTTAAAACTAATTTATCTAACTTATAAAATAATATTACTAGTCCTAGTTATAAGAGCTAGTTGACTAATTTGAAGAGATTAAGAAAATAAGTTAAGTTAGTTATTTGTAATGAATAGATGTTTTTCCTAAGATATTTTTGTTAATCAAGTGTATTGGCTAGAATTATCATTATTAGAAAGACTTCCTTAGAAAAAGAATGCATAAATATGAGAGACAAAGTAGATTAGGATTTTATATTTAGGACTAAAATAAAAGTCATACGAGGTCTTATATTAAAGACCGGAGGTAGTATATAACATAATGTCATACAAGAATATTTTATGGAGATTATCATATCATATTTATTATAACTAACTAACTTATTTGACTTTTTCAGTCTACCTAAATTAATTAAGTACTCATATAGTCTTATTTGTAAATTACTTTAATTCCAACATATTTTATTAGAATCAAGAAAAATCACAAGCCTCATTAACACTACCTTAAAATTTAACTATTTTTCAGTTTTAAGTCACCCAATTTAACATATAAACACTTATCAAGAAAATAATAATCTGCAATAATAAATAATAATAAATGAAGGACAAATATTATATTTATGTTAAAATGTAATGATGTGAATTAAAAAAATACCACCAGAGGAGCCACTCTTAGATTAGGCAGGGGAGGAGTAATAACTTTTGAGGGTGGGCCGTCATGAGCCTTCTCTGCTTTGCTATAAATGCCCCAACACATCCACATGAATACTCACAACAATTATAATAGTTTTAAGACGGAGAAGGAGGGAAAAGGAGAGATGAAGATCAGCAACACCGAGTTACAACGTTATTGGTTTAGTTTCTGTCAACACGTGTCTTGTGTTGCCAAAACATTCTTCTTCTTAGTTACATGTTTGTATCGCCATATCCTCCTCAGAGTTCACCCATTATGGATCCAAATAGCCTATTTCATGTCCCTTTCGTTCCTAGGTTTCTGTCTTCTGAAACTAATCCAACCCAGAAGTAGTAGTACCAATTCTTCTACGCCAATCATAAGTAACTTGGACTTGTTCTTCACCTCTGTGTCTGCCTCCACAGTGTCAAGCATGTCGACCGTTGAAATGGAGGTTTTCTCTAACCCTCAGCTTATTGTCATCACCTTATTAATGTTCCTAGGAGGTGAAGTGTTTACCTCCATGGTTGGTCTCTTCTTTATTAGATTAAAGCTCAAAACCCACCAAGACAAGTTAGCTACATCTTCTGTTAGTATCCCCCCTATAACTTCTGTTCTTGATCCATTTGAGTTGGAGATGGTGGAAGTAAGATCTGATCAACAACCCCAGAATGTTAAGGAACCTGACAATAACGACGAGTCATCTGTCGTAGGTAATGGAGAATATTTAGGCTACAACTCTATCAAATACCTAGGTTTTGTAGTCTTAGGTTATCAACTAGTTGTCCAACTCATAGGCGTAACGATGGTGTCTGTTTACCTGTCAACTGTTTCTAGTGCTAAGCAAGTTTTAAAGAAGAAGGGATTAGAACTGTTCACATTCTCTCTCTTCACAGTAGTTTCTACATTCGCAAGCTGTGGATTCGTTCCTACAAACGAAAACATGGTTGTTTTTGCTAAGAATTCTGGTCTGTTAATGATGTTGATTCCTCAGGTGTTACTTGGGAACACACTGTACCCTTGTTGCTTGAGATTCTCGATCTGGGTTCTGGGGAAATTTGTGAAGAAAGAGGAAAGTGAGTACCTTGCGAAGAATTCGCAAGAGGTTGGGTACAAACATTTGCTGACGAGGGAGCATTCGAAGTTCCTGTTAGTTACCGTTATTGGGTTCATTGTTGTGCAGTTCCTGGTGTTCTGTTCGTTGGATTGGGATTCTGTAGCATTGGAGGGACTGAGTTGGTACGAGAAAGTGGTCGGAATAATCTTCCAAAGCGTTAATTCCCGACATACAGGCGAGACCATCGTAGATCTCTCCGTCTTATCACCGGCCATCTTGGTGCTGTTTGTGGCTATGATGTTAGTATCTCTCTCTCTCTCCTTCCCCTCTCTCTCTAGTCCCCACCCACAAGCACACACAATCTCTCTTAAATCCAATTTCTAAGTAGAGTTTGTAAATGTTAAATTGTTGGAGCAAAAGAAAGAGGTAGAAATTGTGACCCACTCAAGATTCTAATTCTTTGTTAAACTATTACGATTTTATAATTAAGTGGGGTAGAGAGAGAGAGAGAGAAATAAGACCCTACATGTAACATGTCAAGTGAGGCCACCTTTTACCAATTTTGATGTTCATTGCAGTGATGATATTCATTGACACGGTGAGATATATATCGTTCAAATACAGTTTTAGTGATTTAAATTTAAAATTATTAACGGATAATTTTAATTAAATTAAAAAGATAATATTTTGGAAAAGTCACGATTAAGAAATTGTCATTATTTTAGATTCAGTACATGGTAAAATAATTTTTTTAAAAAAATAAATCGGAACTATCTACATCAGATATGAAAGTTTCATGTTTTAATGCTTACCACTTTTGATGAGTATTTTTTTTTTCTTATGTTTATTGCAATAAAGGCAAAACTAGACTCATTCCTAAGGAGAGTTTCTGGCTCAAATCTTTTTCCATCTCTGTTTTTTTCCCTACTACAATTTAAGAGGTGTTTGGGTAGAAACAAAATCATAGTTTTTAAAGCACTTTTACAGTATACAAAATAAATATGTAGAGAAGTTTGCCTTAATTTGTGAAAAAGTGCTTTTCAAAAACAATTATTGAACAATCCAAACACCCCCTTAATGGTTGATTGGAATCAAGCAACAAATATCTAATTAATATGTAAAATAATTCAATGGTTTAACAACTGCTGAACCTTTTTTTCTCAAAAAAACAGAGAGATCTACCAGACTTGGGAGGGAGAAGCTAAGATTAAAAAAGTGGCATAAATCAACATTATTCACTAATACATATATATTAACATATATTACAAACAATATACTCTATACTGTTTATATAGTTCATTTAAGATAAATAAATTACATAGTTGAGTTGTATTGGGATCAGTAGAATCAACCCCATCCCGAACTGTCAAGAAGCCCCTTTGAAGGGATGATATAGCAATAATAATGGATATAGATATCCTTCACACACACATATTCAAATATTGAAGGAAACTATATATAATAATATTATATATAATTGTCCTTTATATATGCATACTATATTGCTTGTGATTGTTTAAATATTATAAATTTGTCTTTCAGAGCTATAACTGACTTGAATTTTCCTTAGGATGCATGCATGCCATGTTCTGAATAATTATTCTGTTTTCAATCATACGTTGTCAATGTTTCTAATTAAATATTACAATATTATATGCAAAATGTCTTCTTAGATTGTGCAATGAATTAGCGTTTCATATAATTTCACTAGATTAATATTTTATTTGCATGATTAGGAGTCTCTCTCTCTCTCTATATATATATATAATTATTTTGAGGTTTCTCTGCCTAGGTTTAGGTTATACTCTCCCGGTATTAAAGAATGCATGATCTAAATGACTAATTCTATAAATATTAAATAAACTAGTTAAGTTGCTCATTTAATCTGTAATAAGTATATGCTGTTTTTTTCTAAAATATCATTTTTTTTGGTCAAAGGTTTTTCTAAAATATTATATTCAGTCATTACCTCCGCTGACGAAAACCCCTTTAAATATTAAAATCAAATCAGATAACTTGAAAAATTTTATAAATTTAAAAACTAGACAAAATGAAAGGTCTGATATTTAAAATTAGAATAAATTTCTCAGCAAGTTGCTATATTTAACATAGTGCTTTGTGGGTTTTCAAAAAAAAACTTTTCATCCCACTTCCTCTTTCAATTAATTATTAATATTCGAAAAGGATCAGCATATGCGTCTATCAACCTCGAACCTCGGTACACACACAATATAATTATTTTGCCTAACCCAATTGATCATTGTTTTCTAATGGAACAATCATTGCCAAATGAATGATTACTATATTTTAGTATATTTACCACATTAAATAACTTTTTGTTTTTCCTACACATCTTGACTTTGATATATATGGTTTGTGTGAAGGTATAATAATTAATAATGTGAATTATATTGAAAGGTACCTTCCTCCATACACGTCATTTTTACCAGTGAAGAAGGGGAAGAATGGAGAAGGCAATAGTGATCAAAGGAAAAGAAAGAGAAGAGGAATATTAGTGGAGAATATTAAAATGTCCCAACTCTCCTATCTCCTCATCTTCATCTTCATGATCTGCATCACTGAGAGCAAAGACCTCACCCAAGATCCCCTCAACTTCAATGTCTTCAACATAGTCATTGAAGTCATCAGGTAATTAACAATTTTGTAATGAGATAAAGCTTGTTGTTATTGTTATGCTCCTCCGATCCTAAATATAAGACCCTTTTCGTAGTGTAAAATTACATTACGAAAAGGGTTTTATATTTAGGACCGTAGGAGTAGTACTGGTATTACTTTTCTTCTCGCATAAGAGAGAGGTAGACATATCATGTTGGATCTTAACGTAAGTTCCTATACTTGTTATGATTGTTTACTTTTTTATACGCTTCAAATTTAGGCAAAATTATGGTTTTAATTCTTTAATCTTACAAGATTTTATTTTGATTCTTTAATTTCATAAAAGTTTTCTTTGATCGTGATTTGAGACTCAAATTAAACTCATGTACGCTTTTTTTAATCCTATCCTAACCGTTCTCTATAGAGAAGGGTGGCCCACACATGCTCATTGCTTATTTCAGTTGGGGTGTTTGATCCTATAACCTCTTCTATTAAATAAGTTATTTGTGAGGTGTCATATGAGTTATAAGTCTCTGGCAGATAGATGAAGTGTGCAGAAATTCAAATTTTTGAACGCATGGATATTTAATTATATATAGGGAAAGACTAATTGAATTGAATTGATGAATGTGCAGTGCATATGGGAATGTGGGGTTTTCAATGGGGTACAGTTGTGGAAGAAGGATAAAGATGGAGGGGAATTGTGAGAACAAGTCAACTGGCTTTGTGGGAAGGTGGAGCCCAGAAGGGAAGAGCATTCTCATTTTGGTTATGCATTTTGGAAGGCTTAAGAAGTTCAATATGGATGGCGGCCAAGCTTGGATCCTCCTCTGATCTAATGAATTAATCATTATTCTCTCATGTTATGCATCCTTTTTAATTGTACAGTGTCAAAACTAAGAGGGGAAAAAGAAATCATGATAAGTTTAAACGACTTACGTCTCTCTTTCAGTTTAGTTTTTTTTTTTAGCCCATGTACCTATTATCTGTTATGGATGGTTTGAACTCAATCTTATGCTTAAAAAAAAGTCTTAAGAAAAGTGTTTAATGTCATCTAAACTACAAGATTTCTCTATAGTTTGCACAAATTATATGAATCATTAGAAAACTCAAAAAGAAAGCATACAATGTTATTGTGCTAAAGTTAATTTATAGAGCTTAGCTGTATAAATAAAAAATTTCGCAACAAACAATTTTTTATAATTCAATTCTCATTTAGAGCTTATGGCAATGATAATGCTCATTGTTGTGATGAAATCCTAATCATTCAAAATTTAATGGATGGTTTGAACTCAATCTTATGCTTAAAAAAAAGTCTTAAGAAAAGTGTTTAATGTCATCTAAACTACAAGATTTCTCTATAGTTTGCACAAATTATATGAATCATTAGAAAACTCAAAAAGAAAGCATACAATGTTATTGTGCTAAAGTTAATTTATAGAGCTTAGCTGTATAAATAAAAAATTTCGCAACAAACAATTTTTTATAATTCAATTCTCATTTAGAGCTTATGGCAATGATAATGCTCATTGTTGTGATGAAATCCTAATCATTCAAATTAATCTGAATAGTTTATATTTAAACCTTTTAATCTGCAATTTTTTTATTGATAAATCTATTTTTTTTAAAAGAAGTATCAGTTATTTATTTTTGAATTTTGTATCTTTAAAATATAAAATATTTAAATTCAATATATATGGTCAATCCAATATCCATCTAAATGGTCTAAATTAATTAAGATGCGTGAGATAAGCATGGAATTTACTCCACCTGAGCAATACATATATCCATATCTAACATTATTGTACATTGAAATGTTTCAGAAATCAGTGATGAAATCAACAAAGCTGTGATGTGGCCAGAGAACACCTTCGCATAGGAGTCCATGAAATACAATGGCAAAATCTTTGTTATACTTGATTACGCTAGCTCAACTATACTACCTCCAACACTTAATATAAGAACTAGTTTAACATTCAATTGGTTCTAAATATAAGACCCCAATTCACTTTGTCTATTATATTTATTTATTTTTAATGTGGTGGCTAATACACTTGATTAGCAAGAGTATTTTAGGAAAGACAATATCTATTTATTATAAATAACTAACTTAACTAATTTTTTTAATTCACTCAAATTAGTTAATTGACTCTTATATTAAAGATTGGAGGTAGCGTGTGTATATATCCACTGATCTCTTTGTATCATCTTGCTATTACATACTACCTCTGGTCCTTAATATAAGAGTTTATTTGACTTTTAATTTGGTTCTAAATATAATACCACAATCTACTTTTTTTCTTGTATTTATTCATTTTTCCAAAATAATTCTTGTAGTAGTTACATATATTAAAAGTTCCATCAAATGATAGTTCTAACTAATACACATGATTAGTAAGGATAAACTAGAAAGGCAAAATATATTTCTTACAAATAACTAACTTAACTAATTTTTTTAATCTCTCCAAATTAGTCAACTAGATCTTATATTAAGGACAGGAGGTAGTGCTTTCATATGTTTATATTCTTCTCGTCCAGGATTGGATTATATTCAATCGCTATTTACCTCCTTTAATTTACCTCTCATCAAATCAAATCTATTACAAGAAAAGCTCTTTAACATGCATCAAAATGGGCTTTTGACATCGATTACATGAGAGATATGAAATCGAATGACGTAGTTTTTTTTTTTTTAATTTTTATATTTTATATCAGCTTAAAAGCAATGCAGTAAATTCCAAATCCTGAGCCATAAATCTTTAACAGTGTCCTTCATCAAATCATCATTCATCATGTTAATGGCCCCTACTTCCCTCTGATATTCTTCCTTTGCCTCTAAGATCTCCTCCGAAGGGAAGGAATTAATCTCTTGCGTTAATAAACAGAGACATTACTTTATCTTTGTTCTAGAATTGTTTTCTTTTATGCATAAAAATTTAGGTGAGTTAGTACCCATGGTGGTATGCCTCCAGGCTTAGAAAGCATTTACAAATGTACTTACAAGCCGCTCATTAACAAGATCCTCACATAGGCAGTGAGTTTCGAACTCATAACTTTGTAGATTATGAGCTATCTCCTTATACCAATTCTTATAGATATTTTTGGCCTGCAATTGTTGAGTTTAAATAAATTTTGCTCTTTGAATATGATTTTATTTTATCTATTGGATCCTTTTCTTGAGTAAGCTTATCTACGTGTTAGTTAACATGTGCGGCACAACACATGATTGATTCTAATTATTATGTGAACGTAACGTATAAAACAACCCAACATGAGTAATGCTTTTATTTTTATTTAAATGGAAAAACCTATTTTTTTAAAGGAGTGAGAAGAACCTTGCCACGTTAATTAACATTATTGGACTAATAATAGTCCACTCGTTATGTGATGGTACCAAAATGTACGATCGCAACAATCTGTCTTGGACAACATTTATTTATATCGTACTTAGGGAAAATACTAAACAAATTTATATTTCATCATTCAGGTCAATGCTAATAATTAATTTTTTGGCAAAAAAATGCTAATAATTAGTCCTATAGAATAAATAAATGAAATCACCATAACTATCCATTTGCCATTGGCCCCTGTGATTTTGTTTAGTGCACACGGCTTTGACGCGATATGGATTCGACACAATTATTGCATATATCATATAATAATCCAATCATCATGTTATCTCCTTAATTTCTTTTATTTTTTTCTACACAAAAATTTAGACGAGTTAGGTCTCGGGACTTACCAGGACTAGGACAGGTTTCCAGACTCAGAAAGTACTTACAGAAGTATTTATAGATCACCTTGTGAATTACGGTGGTTATTAGAAAAAGAGTTTCCAGACTCAGGTTTCCAGACTTCCACTACTACAAAAAAGAGTTTTCATGACGCTAATTTACGGTGGTTATTAGAAAAAAAAAACACTGTAAAAAATATGACGATATCATTTCTGTAATTATAAGCATATTTTTAAAAGCGGTTATTTAAAAAATTGCCGTAAAAAGTTCTTTCAATAGCGGTTTTTTAAATAACCACAGTAAAAAGTCTATTGCACGATAGTTTTCACTTTTCAGAGTCAGAGTCCCTATTACCGTCCTCACTTGATTTTCTCCCTCCTCCTATCTTTGTCAACGCTTATCCTTTGCTTCTATCATCTCCACCATGTTCTTCCATCACCGTCGCTGTAGCTGTCGCTGTCGCCATCGCCTTATCCTCTTCATTCTTATTTGTGAGTTTTTCACCTCCATTCTTTCCGTGGATTTCATAGTTTTTGTGGTTTGATATGATTATTTTCTTTGGTTAAAAATATGATGTTTAATCTGAGTTTAAAAAGATCTGATTTTTATCATATCTGAGTCTTTGATTTTATCAGGTCTGAGTCTTTGATTTATCTTTATTAAATCTTAGTGGCTTTGATCTGGTGGTTGAAGGTGAAGCTAAGTAGGGGTGGAAATAGGCCAGGCGGCCTATCAGGGGCCTGTGGCCTGGCCTGTTTGATATCAGACTAGGCTCAGGCCTGTTTACTTTATCAGGCCAAGCTCAGGCTTGATAGTAAGCCTGTTAGGCTTGTCAGGCGGCCTGGGCCTGTTAGGCGGCTTGGGCCTGTTATCTTTTTTTTTTAGGTTAAAATTGTAAATTGATAGGAGGGAATCTGCTATTCTGATTAGTTAATTGAAAAAACTCCATCCACATAAATATGTTATCTAGAGCCCATTGCATGCTTCATTTCATTTCCATTCTCTATAATAAAAATAATTAATGTATGTATAATGACACATATTTAAACAGAGAAAGAAAACATAAGTGCATTAAAAAAAATAAAAGTATCATTCATTTATTTGATCCATGCTTTTCATATTAATCTTATATAGAATATATATATAGAGAGAGAGAGAATTGACCTATTATGTTTTAGACTGTATATATGTGTGCTCAATCTAATTCTTATTATAATAATTACTTAATTAATTTAAATAAATAAATAAATATAATAAATGTAACATTTTTTTTTTAAAAACAACCATGTGTAACAACATGATCAAATATCATTTTGTTAGTAAATTAGTTTGAATAAATGATAAATTTAAAATATAAAAGGGATTAAGGATGTTTCATATTTTAAACTAGATCTAGTCATCAACTAATTTTTATACTAGAGATGGGATGAAGTGATATTTTTATATTAGAGTGAAATTATGTTTTCTAATAATTTTTCATATTAGATTTTTTTTTGGCCTAAGGGGACATGTTTTACAAATTGTTTATTTGATAATTTCATATTTTTTGTTTGTATTTTAGATTAATTAGGTTGAATTATTGTAATTTTGAATTGATTTATGTGTGTTTAAAATTTGATAAAAAAAACAGACCTCTAACAGGCCACAGGCCAGGCTCAAGCCGATTAAAAAGCCTTTCACAGGTCACAAGCCAGGCTCAGGCCAACAGGCCTCACCACAGGCCAGGCCTGTTAAGGTTGAGGCCTAGCCTGTTTCCACCCCTAAAGCTAAGTGGCGCTATTATGGCGAAAAAGAATCTAGGTTTGCTCTATCAGAATGCTTTTAACTGGTGAGAGATTATTGGTTAATTGATTTTCATACCCTTTCCTTTGAGGCTTTGTTCTCCCGTTCCATCCCGATAATAGGGTGAAACGTAGAATTAAAAAAAAAATTTTTACGGTGGTTATTTATATAACCACCGTGAAATGTCACATACAATGGTGGTTCTTAAACTGCTGCGAAATCTTCTACATTTTATGTCGATGGCATAGACATCGCTCTCAAAACTGCCGTAAAAAGCTCATTTTAACTGCCGTTAAATATTTTTTTCCTATATTAATGTTCTTGCT